TCCCACCTCTCACTCCAAAAACATAGACACAATTTTTCCTTTCTTAATCTCTAGGGGCGCCCGTAGGAGAGAGGTTAATTGTGATCTTCTGGCCATTTGCAAACTATTCCGTAATCTTCCTATCGTACGCTTCTGCTCTTCACCACATCAGCACACAACATAAGAAACTAATGCTCATGTGCTACTTCTCCGGCCTTTTTTTTTAGGAAAACTGGCTTGCAGGCTCACATAACTTCATGCTTTTTATTTTGATATCTTCCATTCATGTATTTACAGTTTCATATAGTTGCGTATACAAAGTCTTTTTTAGGCCAATTAATTCTACTATGTTTTTCAAGCCTCTATGGACCAAAAGCGAAAAAGGAATCCTTTCTAAAATCCCATCTTGATATAACTGTTTCTTTCAACCTAAATGTTTTGCAGACATTTTAAAACGATAATCCAAGGAATCAGCTGTCATTCAAGGTTTCTTCCAGAGATGTTTGTAATCACATTCATCATCTTAGCATGCTGACAAGTTATTTAAAACATAAGTGCTTAGGATAATCTCTTTACTCACACATATTGGTTCTGATCTAGAAAAAAATAAGAATCATAAAAAATCTTCTATAATCTTCAACTGTGGTGGATTATAGATTTTAATAAATGCGTGTCAGTTCCTCTCTCAGACAAAGGCCATATTCTAATTAATTTTTTTCTTGTAATCCAAGCTACAGACTCAAGAGACATATAGCCTGCCTTTTCAAACTGGGTCAAGTGTGGAAAAGATGTTATCTATCTCCTGCAAGAAGTAGGATATTAATAAACAATCTCAGTTTAAGATGTCTTTTTTTTTTTACAAAGCTGTAAGTCGTGTGTGCCAAGGAAAACTTGACTAGTGAGCTCCCTCCTAAGAAATCACAAGTGAGTAGAAAGTTAAAAAAAAAAAGAAAACTTCAGTAATTTACTAACATCACCAACTTTTTAGTGATTGTGGTGGTGTGATTTAATGCCTGTGGAAAAGCTTTACAAAAGTCAGCAATAAACGATGGCGAGGAGTCATACAAACTCATAGCTATCAGTGCAACAGCATATTAAAGACCTTAGCATGGACTTTGAAAATCAGTTGCCTAACCTAGTTTGCAACATTTGATCACAATGCTTTACCTGGCACCGTTCGTCGCGGCGTCCTAGGATAACGTGTGTTACTGCAGATGGGTTGAAATTTTCTCTGGTAAATGCTTACTTCAAGAGGAGTTTAGCAAAGTTAAAGTCGTTTCTCTCTCGAATTGTTCCGAAGCGTAAGCAAAGCAGGGCTGGGGAGCAGAGGAGCTGTGTTGTCTTGTTGGGATTAAAAACAGAAACGGGGACCCAACTACTGCCGTCAGTCTGAGGCGTCCTAGGCTACAGTCCTGGTTTTCACTGCCTCCCTGCAGCAGGGCTAAGGTCTGACCATCCATTTCTCTTTCCCAGGTTTGTGTTTTGGTGGATTAGGGACCTTACTTTCAAAGGGACAAGAGGGAAGAGAAGTCTCCCAGGACATTTGGCCACATTTCCCCTGATTCCCCTCTGTTTCCAATTGCATTCTTTTCTTTTTAGAACCCAAAAAGCAGAAAAAAAAACCCTAAACTTCTTGTTTACTGAACTCATTCCCTTGTTTTAGCAAAGTCACATCCTGAGACCCTGTGATTAGTCACAGTGTATTTGAGATGGTCTGATTTGCCTTGATAAATTCTGCTGGACACTCGAAGCTAAAGTTTTTTTTCTCCCCCTCCTCGTTAGTTTTCCAGCCTAATCGCAATCGCTTTACCCCAGCTTTTTTTCCCCTTAAGCAGCTATTGTGCCATGAGCACATGCCCTTTGGCTGGCAGTCACACTTTTGTGCTCCAGTTCCTGAAGAGGGACGTAATTCTCGTCTACAGGACTATCAGGGCAGAGAGAGCGTGCAACACTGAGGCAAGGGAGTCCGAGTGTAACGGGGCTCGAGCACCTCCATCTCAGAAAGAAACTGGGACCTTATCTGTCACGGAGAGCTGGCACTAGAATAAATTCCAGAATGAAAAAATAGGAGACACAGAGTGACAAACAATCTGTTCCTTGGAGCCTGATGTGAACAAACAGCTTAAGAGCCTTTCGGCCCAGGCAGCGATAGCAGAAACCGAACCACGCATTCAGCCGAGCGAGGCCCTCAGACTGAGCTAGGCAGGGAGACACCAAGCTTTCCTTTCTTCCCGGGGTACAGGGAGACATTATACATGTACTGTTCTGTAGCTTTCCACTTAAGTAGTTGTCCTTGTGCCCAAGCACAAAACATGTGCTAGGAAAATTGCATCTCTCAAGATTATAGCGGAAGGTGATGTCAAGGTACAGATATATATGTACATAATTATACATATGGGTGTTAGATGTGGATGCTTAAACAATCCTTGAAGAGTCTTCTCTTGGGAGTCTAGCATGAAGTATGGAAAGGTATTTCATGTACATAGAGAAGCCCACATGTAGACACCCCTTCAATATAACCATCTATGTAAAAAACCCAATCCCATTCCTATACATCTCATTAGACTGTACAGACAACATGACAATGAAACACAGGTTTTCAGATTTATTTTTCAAGCAATCTTGTGTATAAGATACAATTATCTCTCCAATAATAGGCAAAGAGAACTGAGAAGTCTAATCTTCATACAAAAGCTGAGCAATAAATTCATTTAAGCCTAAACTTGGAAAACAAAAAGCAGCATTGCACTGGGAAACGGAAATATATTCTGATACAAAATGTTTCAAAAATAGTAGCAGTGTTTCTTGAAGAAAACACTCTGTAGTGCTCATTCTTTTTGTGCTCCAAAGAGATTACATACTTTTTAAACATTCCAAATTTCTTTGCATACTGCATTTCCTAGGCAGAAAAGCAAGCAAGGTGCATGTATATATAGAGAATCACAACTCCACGGTTGTGTATTTGTGGGTAAAGGAGGGAACAGAGAATTCTGGAGTGAAATCCTAGTCTCACCCAGCGCTGGATTGGAAGGGACCAGCAGATACAAGTCTAATTTTAACCCTTAGCGCTAGGCCTTTAATCTACCAGGGGAAGGAGGAGGCAGCAGAGAGCAGATCACTCACTGCAGGCTCCGTCCTCACCCCAGCTGCAGGCACCAACCATCCAACAGACCAGCAGCCTGTACGGTCAGCGGGAAGCAAAGCCAGGATTTCATCCAATACTCAGAACGTGCATGGCACTGTAACAGAATCCAAATTTGACAGTACAAAAGCATTCAGTGGCTCAGTATAAAAAACCCTCCTCTTTGACAATAATACTCTGCCGTTCATTCTTCCTTCTCCCTTTGGCTCCTTTCACCCTCCTCTTTGTTGCAGTTGCTTCTTCATTACATGTGCACAAAGAAAATCCAAATCCTGAGTAACAAGACTTGGAGATCAAAACTTCAGCTATTGTTATGGCTGCTTTTCCTACCGGGCAGAGCAACACCTGGAATTCCAGCCCGTCAGGACCGTGATAATAGCACTGTGCTTCTCAGGAGGTAAAAGGCTGTGCGTTTATCAGCAAAGTGCGCTTGTGAGCAAAGCTGAAAGCAGACAGCTTCCAGCATCAGTATTCAGCTTTAGAAAAGGGGAGATCCAGACAGTTGCACAGGTACCAGCGCAAATGGTATCTGCCCACAGCATTGCATCTCGCAGGCCTAACTGGTGAAGTCTAAGCCATGCTTGCATTGCAAGGTGGTGTAGAAATCCCTGAGCAAAAGCCACAGAAGCAGCCCTGAACTGAAAGGAAGCAACTGCTGGTTTGCCAGAGAGAAGCTGCACTCAGGCTAAAGTTCAATTCTGGGCTGATGCAGCTGAACTGCCGCTAGAGCCGGGCTGGCATGCCTGTGCAGCACAGCACTCGGCATCAAATGAGCTGGTACGCTGGCAAACTCTCATCAGTCTAAAGTGGCACTGTACCGAGCAGTATGGACGGGCTCCCAAATGAACGCTTCAAAAGCATGATAGCAAAAGGACATAAGCTAATTCAAAAAAGCAGTGATTTAAACCTCTAAGCCTACTGCATTTCAAAGCTGCTTATACTACACAGTCTATTCCCTTTGTAACAGTACTTAACCTGGACGAGGCACGCAGTGTAAGTGGAAAGAGTAAACATGTCATTTGGAGCGGCTTCTAAGCACATTAACTGTGTTGGGTTTCAGAACGCCCTTCCTAGCTGCAGAGCTAAATGCTAATGTGCTCTCTTCACAGCACAAGGCAACACGTAACAGCAGGTATTCCAACATGTCGCAACCAGCTTCCACTCTGTGACGGGAAAAGGCAAGGTTAACTTCCTCCCTCCTCCAATTAATTTAGGTTTACATTCATAGGAGAGGGATTGCAAAAATATTAAGGTCTAGATTTCAAATATTTAACAACTGAACGTTTTCAAGATTTACAGGACCTTATTTGCTAGTAGTGCAGAATTGCTAAACTATTTCTTGCATACTGTTATTGTGAAAACATTCACAAAAACTGTTAAAAGGGACAACAAGACTTCAAATTGAAGTATCACTTTCATCTCTGTTATCCTGATAAATTATTTTTACCACAGGAACAATCAAGCTTAATCAATGGAATTCATTAACCAGACTTCTCCATCACAGAAGAATCCACTAATAGATTTTTCTTCAGCATAAATTTGTCTCAATAGTAACCCTATACAGTTAGAAGATAAACTCTGTTGATCAGAAAAACCACAAAACTCTCCCGAGATATTTTAGGAAAGATATAAAGAAAGATCTGATTGATGTTGAAAACATGTACATGAAAGCGTAACAGTTTTAAGAGGAAAATACCATAATTCACGCATCTGGGTTTCTGCAGTTTCTACATCAAAGTCAGGAGACCGGTTTTACAGAAGGCATCATTTGTGTGTGAAACGGCAGGCGCTGCCTTTAGCTGGTCCAAATTGTGATTCTTAAAGGCGGTGGGGGGGGAACCAAACAAAGCCAAAACCCGGTTCAATCCACGGCTTCCAGTTACTGTTTGATAACGCTGTGAGTACTGTACACAATGCCTTCTGCCTGAACACGTGCAAGTATTGGTCCGTAAACATTCTTTGTCAATGGTATAACCATACCTTTGGCATCTATTTCACCTGAGATAAAGGGGCTGCCCCATGCCAGACACAGCCGGTTCCAGCCGGCTCCAGCCGACCCAGGGCAGGGCACCGCTGAGCCCCTTGGACAAGATGGCGGTGCTTCAGGGAAAACAGACTTAAGAAAGGGCAAAACACTGCACAGCAGTGAGGAGCGAGGAAAAAAGTGCGAGAAACAGCCCTGTGACACCAAGGTGAGACAAACAGGTGGGGATGAAGTGGTCCAAATGCCAGAGGGAGCAGAGACTCCCCTGCAGACCATGGAGAGACCATGGTGGAGCAGGGGAAAAGCGTGAAGAAGAAGGAGCAGCAGAGAGGAGCTGTTCTGGACTGACCACAGCCCCCCATTCCCCATCCCCCTGCGCCCTTGGCTGAGGGGTCAGGAACGGAGGAGTGAAGTTGAGCCTGGGAAAAAGAGGTGGGGGTGAAGGTGGTATTTTTTCTGTGTTTCTCACTATCCAAACTTATTTTTAATTGGCGATAAATTATTTTTCCTCAAGGTGAGTCTGTTTTGCCTGTGAAAATAACTGGTGAGTGATCTCCCTGTCTTTATCTCAACCCATGAGCTTTTTCATCTCATTTTCTCCCCCTGTCCTGCTGAGGAGGGGGAGAGAGCAGCTGGGCGGGCATCTGGGGCATCTGCCAGCCAGCCAAGCTCAACCCACCACAAGTAAAAATATCCATTTGCGATTATATAAATTTTAATTTTTATATTTTTACACATAGATATATGCAGATTTATCCACCTCGGCATTATGTTCTCACACAGCAGTACTGTATCAAAGAACAAGGGAAAAAAAGTTTGAAATAGTAGCATACACAGCTTGAATTTAATTCATAGAGCTGTGAAACTGTGCTTAAGTGAAAAGCACCTAAACTGCAAAAGTTTGGTTTTTTGGTTTTTTTTAAATTACAAAAAAAGACCAAAAAAAAAACCCAACCCCAAAGTTTTTGCTCATTTCAGTTTGCCAGGAGAAGAATGAAGTTCTAAAGATTAAGAGGAAGCAAGGGGAAATCATGCTGTTTCCTTAAACATGGTGATAACTAGGCAGAGTCTGCCTGTTTATATATGCACACACAACATGATCAGGTAATAAGCCCCAAGCCTCAAATTTGATCAATACAGAAAGCAACAGTGGAAGTCACTAGTTTGTTCAGCACAGGTATATTTTAGCCTGCTTCACTGTGGCATAATCAGTTGTAATTTACCATACCAAAGGTCCCCTCTATACCAGTGAAACACTTAAGATTAAATTACTAAAAATCTCTACACATTAAGAAACTGAGTCACTGAAACATCCAAATATGCAGATTAAAAATTCCTGTAAAGACAACTGGAAAAGTTTGATTAAATTAAAACAAAACAAAACATGTATACACACTTCAGAAACACTACACATCTGCTTTCTACAGACAGGAAGATCCAGAGTGATGAAATACTGTTGCTAAAGCCTGAACAGTCACTTACCATCTAGAACCATCTTAGCAGCAATAGCCGTGGGGTATCCTACTGTTTTAGCCATCGCAGAATATCCTTTGTTATCACCATAGACAACCAGATCAATAAATTTGTTTTCCAAATGACCAGAAGGATGCCTGAGACCTATTTCATTTCTCATAACAATCATATCTCTCTCTCCAGTGCCTAAGAGAAAAGCATACAAACTATTCATTACTTCTGTTTCAATCATACGAAGATGAGGCAAGGCACTATGCATACACAGCATGTATATCAGGGAAGCGACTTAAGATAGGGACTATTAGGGAGGACAGAATACTAAGATGAAAATAAAAATTTAACAGGGAACGAAAAGGATAAATTGAGGGAGCAGAGAACATCACAAGACATTAAAAAAAAAAAAAACTAACATGAAGGTTTTTTAATGAAGATGAACAAACTAATCTAATTAAGGCTGATAAGAGATATTTACTTGTTCTGCTCAAAGCCATGAAAAAGAAGAATTTCTCACATACCAAAGGGCAACTTCAACTCCATGTGCTTTGCAAGAGCCCCCACAATGGAATCTGCTGCTGGAACTAGTTCATCTCCCAATAAACCTAGCCTGGCAGAAGAAATGAGACAGACTTGTATCATTGCCTATCAACAGCTTAGTCTCAGTTTTGTAATTTCCAGCTTGTTCAGCATACCAGTTTAACAGTCTCAGCATGGACCAAAATGAGTAGAATTGCAAACCTTTTTTTTTTAAAAAAAAAAACTTTAAAAATCACTGGATCATTTTACCATTCCACTGCCTCCAGCTGACTTTTGTCCTTTTCCAGTTTGCTAAATACAGCTTCTTTAAGAACATGGTACTCAGCAGGTGACTTAATTCCAACTAGTTTGCACATGAGCTCTTTCTGTATTAAAAGAAAAGAAAAAAAGTTCCTGAAGGCCTGACATCTGTTCCCACTCTGTTTCACTCAAGGTTTCAAGAGCCTACTGCTCCACTAAGCTCAGTCAATATCCTGGACTTCAGAGAAGACAGGTTATGCGTACAGGGAAAGTGAGATAGTTTGAGACTTTTAATTGCAACCAGTGAGAATAGGTGCCATCTTTTCCTAAAATACTTTGTACTCCACCACTCAGCTGCTTTTTAGTCCTATCCCTTCCTCTGGCAGTGAAGAATAAACATAAAAATCTGCATAAACAAGGAACACTGGGAGGATGTTAGGGTGAAAGAGAAGCCACCTGGAGACAGCCAGAGAGTCAGGAACTTAAAGATATCTTTCAGCTGGTCCAGAAATGGAGAATGTCCCTTTCAAAAGGAAGGAAACAGACTGATTAGATGAATGAGGCTCTGGCAGTCCTGGGAATATTATCAAAAAGCTTTCTGAAGATTTTTGTGCGTGTCTGAAAGCCATTTTGTGCTATCTAGATGCTAATTATTGCTTGCTTCATTCACAGCTGACAGATAATAAACGGAGCTATGAACAAGATATGAAGCAAGCAAGAACTGCAGAGTCTGTTTAGAAGCTCAGGTTAGCCTATCTCCCCTGCTTCCCAGGCAGAGCAGATAAAGGGAAAGTACTAAGATGTCACAACATAGCTAGGACCAGGTTTGCAGTGAGACTAATGAGTTCATAGTTATTTTTACAGATTACTTGACGCTGCATACTTATTCATCGAGACTAAAAGGACTGGAAATTCTAGCCATCTTTGCACAGAAAACTTGAAAATATCAACCCTAAAACTGAAAGTGGACAAAAATAGTATCAAAAAAATAGAAGTAATTCCCATACGGCAGCCCAAAAACTCCTGGAGTTTGGGAAGATGAGCAGATGAGAGAGTATGTTAGTCAGAGACACGCAAGACTGGGCCTCTTCACCTTGTGCTTTCTTGGTTTTGAGAACACTCAAGATATTCTTAACTTGAAACAATGGCATCATCAGAAAAATACTGTGCTCTCCTCAGACCATCACACAGCATAAGCCTGGTGTCTTCTTCCAGATTAATGCTGATAAACGCACAAGGAAGGAAACAGGAGACAGATCTGAATTTTGTTCATCTGAGTAATAAACAAAGTTACTCTCTCAGGAGTTTGCAAAATGGAAGAAAAAAATTCTCACAAGACAGACAAACAGACCTGACAAGTAATAAGCTGTTTGTCAATTCAGCTCTCTTTACACCATACCAAAACATGAAATCCCTGTTTTGCCCACAGAGACAACCAAAACTTTGATTGTCAAATGTAACACCAGCACATCATAGGAGTCATACCTTGGCCGAGATTAAGATGAAGTGAGGCATTAGTAAGCAAGACAGAAAAGCAGCATAACAGCAGACAAAAAAAAAAAATGCTTGTACAGAGTTTTAACAGAAAAACAGATTTTAATATACCCATTTAGGCATGATCTCTTACTTCTTGATGCCCTAAAAATACTTTTACACTGAAGATCATGGGCCAGTACCAATATGGACACTGCAAACTCACAGCACTGGGGGCTGGATTCTGACTACCAGAAAATTTAAGACAATTCATAAAAATATTGCACAGGACCTCTGAGGGTCATCTAGCCCAACGCCCTACTTGAAGCAGGAGTACCACCAGCACTCAAGTCAGCAGTGGCTTTGTCTAGCTGAGTCCTGAAAGCCTCCAGCGTCACAGACTCCAGAGTCTCTCTGAGGAACCTGTTCCAGCACTGGCTTCCTGCTGAAGGAAATCTTCCTAATTTCCAGGAAAAAAAAAGCAGAGGAGACCAGGATGCAATACAAGATTCCCATTGCTAAGCACACCCAAGCCTAGCAATAAGAAAAAGATTAATAAAACAGAGGAAAGAAGGCAGAGTAATCAGAGTAACTCACCCAGGTTAGAGGTGGCGTGGTTGAGCTTAGCAAAGGGTAAGGATCTGGGTTAATTAATCCCAGTTTTACAAAGCCTGCCATAGTTTTGGAGTACCCCTGAAATAAAAGAATAACATGGTTAAAAATAATAATCACTTGAAACTCAGGTGAGTATTTCTCCTTGGTTTGAATGTAGTGGTGGACACAGCCATGGTAGTGTTAAGCATTATTCCCACAGGAAGACAGCCACAATAACACGATGCCAGTGGGGTTACTGCTACAGAGCAATATCTTTCCCAGTCTCTCTCCACCCCTCCCTCTACTTTTTCAATTCCCTCTTAATGACTTTTTCTGCCATCAGTACTTCCATGGCAGGTAGCATCGGTTCATGAGATCAAAGGGCTAAGCCAGCCAGCACTAGTTCAGACTCCAGCACGTCATTACAGATGGGGTTGTATCAGCCAGCTGGCCCATAAACAAACTCCTGAATACAGAGAGCCCCAGTTTTACACCAGTGTGATTGTATGGACATCAGATAAACTGATTTTAAAGATAAGAATCCTGTGTGTTTGCATCTTTCCTTCAGGAATATCAGAGAGACAACCAAGACAGCTGTGGAATGGTATTTAAAAGGAACTGCAAAGGCTGAATGATAGAAGTTTCAACTGGTTTCTGCTTATTTTTGTTTGTGTCCTGTTAATACTCCCACACAGCTGCTGGATACCTGAAAACACTTCCATGCAAGTGACTAGAAACACTGTAAAAAAGCAGAATGGTGGATGTAAAGCACCCTGAAAGAGGGCTAATTATAATTAGGAGCCACCTCCACCAGCACTAGGTTATCAGCTCAGATGGCCTTGCAGTGAGATCCCTCTGTGATACCTCTTTTTAAACTGACTCCATTAGCGTTCTGAACTTAATCTATAAAAGGCACTCTGAGGAGATGTTAGCCTCTGTGCTGAACGGATTGCTTTCTGCTCTGCAACACAGCAGCACGTGCAAAGGGCCACCATTAACTTCTGCCCTGCTCAGCACTATGTTCTAGCATGTAGGTACTACACAGGTAGAGGCACGGCAAGCTCTTCCACGCAACCCTACCAACGTCACACCAACCCAAAGTGATCAACCTGTTTTGGGGGTTAAGAAAATAGGACTAACCACGGAAACATTCTTGCAGCACACTGATAACATCTCTTCATGTCACCCTGACATTTTTGCTTTTCCTTATGCTAACACTTATACAAAAGAAAGAAATTTTACCAGGCACCAAATGGAAGAGTAGATACTGTCATATTAAGACTTCATGATGAGATAGATGCCTTCCACATATTTTTAGCTTCTGAACAAGAGATCTAGACTGACAAAAAGAGAGCTATTGCGATTTGTGACTCTTATTCCCCGACACTGGCCTTCCATCTTCTTTTGCTAAGCAAGCCTCCCTACCAAAAATAAAGAAAAAATCCTGTTGCATTGCAACAGAGGAATTAAGAGGGAAAGGACATACACATTCCTCAAGCCGTGTACAAAACAGCAATAACTTAAATCTTGACATAAACCTTAACTCAATAGACATATCACAACATCCATAAAAGCTCTTTTAAACCTTCAATATAGTTTTAGTTTTATTCCTTCTTAATGTATATTGACCAACAAAATAATAAAAAAGAAATCTGAAATAAAAAAATACTATGTTTTGATTCTGCTTTGTGCACCTAACAAATGAAAGGAAAAAGAGTCTATCAGTTAGAAGGAAAAACACATCTATCTCTTAACATTTTACTTAATTGACCAAAATGTTAAAGATGCTTAAATTCAAGATTTCCAGTTACTTAATGAAAAACTTTTTCTCAGTTTGATGGAAAACCATAATTTTCTGTAAGATTTTTACATTATGTTTTTCATAGGAATATAAGCAACAAACTGTAAGTTCAAATTTTTATCAACTTTAAGAGAACAGATCAATTCTGAAAAATACAAAACAGCAACACACATCACACAAACCCGTCAGATTTATTTATTTTTTTTTAAAATCTTCTATTGATCTGACACCAAATACAGAGCCAGAGAAAAAAAGAAACACAGACTATGCAAGCCAACTGACCAGCTGCCTAAACCAAGTAAAACTATTTTGCTGGTTTGCAACAAACACCTGTTAAATAAACCATGTAAAGCTACATTAAAAAATGAGAGAAGTGCTTTCAGTTATCTCTCAGCTGGGATAGTGGAGAGCTCATAAATAGCAAGTACGGAGCTGTGAAAGGCTGACTTATAAATACGCAGTTCTCTTGAAATTACAACATTCATCTCTTGAGGAAAACAATAATTAATAACAACAACAACTTACTTTGTACCTTAAGGTGCCTCTCAACAAAGTGTGAGCTGTCTGAATACCATACGGCTCAGCATATTTTGTACTGTCTCTGTTAGGAAAACCTTCAAGATTTAATCCTGGGAAAAAATCCATCGGAGTAACAGAATCAAGTAATGCTCCTCCAGCTGGAATATTGATAATCTAAATTTTGTGAAAGAATAACAATATTATTTCGGTGCAGTGTTATTTAATTTATTTTACAATAGAAGAGATGAAGTATGCTCAAAATAGGAACAATATGCTTCGTGTTTCTGGTGCAAACGAAGGCCCAATCTAAATAAAGCAGTTGCACAAGCCATTTAAGCACATCCTGTGATGGAGGAGCCTGCACTCTGTCAGCCATTACTAATCAAAGGGCTAAAACAAGCCGCGTCCTTCTCACACACACTGGTCATTCCT